GGGATTCGAGAAGTTCTGGGGGGATTTGAGGGGTTCTAGGTGGGATTTGGGGGGTCCCGGGTGGGATTTGAGGGGTTCTAGGGGGAATTTTGAGGCATTTGAGGGGATCTGGGTGGGATTTGAGGGGTTCTGGGTGGGATTTGAGGGGTTCTGGTGGAGGTTTGAGGGGTTCTAGGGGGGTTTGGGGGGGGATTGGAAAGGTTCTGAGGGGGATTTGAGGGGTGCCAGGTGGGATTGGAGGGATTTAGGGGAGATTTGAGGATTTTTGGGGGGATTTGGGGGGGTTCTGTGTGTGACCTGGGGAATCCTGAGTGGGATTTGAGAGGTAATGGGGGGATCTGGGTGGGATTTGAGGGATTCTGGTGGGATTTGAGGATTTCTGGGTGGGATTTAGGGGTGTCCCCCCTCCTTTCCTCACCCCCTTTTCCCTTTCCAGGCCTATGAAGAAGCCCAAAAACGCCTCAAAATGGCTGAGGAGGACCAAAAAGCGCTGGTGAGAACTGCCCCAGTTCCCAGTGTACCCCAATTCATCCCAATTTACTCTATTTCATCCCAGTTTGCCCCATTTTCTCCTCATTTTCCTTTACTTTCCCGTATTATTCCTCCTTTTTCTTATTTCGTTCATTTTCTCCTCATTTAATCTCATTTTACCCCCATTTTAATCCATTCCTCCCCATTTTCACCCCATTTTGTCCCATTTTCCCCCCATTTTTCCCCCATTTTCTCCCCAGATCCTCGAGCTGTGCAGGTGCTCCCTCTGCGAGTACCTGCCCAATTCATCCCATTTTACCTCATTTTTTTTCTCATTTTTTTTCTCATTTTTTTCTCATTTTTTTCTCATTTTTTTCTCATCTTTTTCGCTTTTTTTTTCTTGTTTTTCTCTCTTTTTTTTCTCTTTTTTTTCTCTTTTTTTTCTCTTTTTTTCTCTTTTTTTCTCTTTTTTTCTCTTTTTTTTCTCTTTTTTTTTCTCTTTTTTCCATTTTTTCTCATTTTTTTTCTTTTTTTTCTCATGTTTTCTCATTTTCTCTCATTTTTTTCTCATTTTTTTCCAATTTTTCCCCATTTTAATCCATTTTTCTCTATTTTAACCCATTGTTTCCCCATTTTCTCCCCATTTTAACCCCATTTTCTCCCCATTTTAACCCATTTCTCCTCATTTTAACCCCATTTCATGCCATTTTTCCTCATTTTAACCCATTTTCTCCCCATTTTAACCCCATTTTAACCTTATTTTCTGTCATTTTTTCACCATTTAAACCCCATTTT